GGGTGAGTTCACAGAAGCCCAGGTCTGTGTGGGCACAGGGGCCAGCTAGGTCCAGGTCCTGTCCTGAGGGTACTTCCTGCCCCAGCCCCAAGCCAAGCCCTGGAGAGAATGGGCATCGTAGGGGGGCAGGAGGCCCCTGGGAGCATGTGGCCCTGGCAGGTGAGCCTGAGAACCAGAACACCGCCCTGGACGTACTGGATGCACTTCTGCGGGGGCTCCCTCATCCACCCCCAGTGGGTGCTGACTGCTGCGCACTGCATAGGACCGTGAGTGCCCATGGGGCCTGATGGGTGGGGGTGGGCCTGGGGCTCCTCCACCCTCCCTCTTGGGGTGTCCAAGAGCCTGCTCAGCCGCCTGAGTGTGTGTCCCCTCTCTCCAGGGACATCAAAGATCCTGCATTCCTGAGGGTGCAGCTGCGGGAGCAACACCTCTATTACCAGGATAATCTGCTGCCCATCAACCGGATCATCCCGCATCCCAAGTTCTATGGCATCCAGGAGGGGTTTGACATCGCCCTGCTGGAGCTCCAGGATCCTGTGAACATCTCCTGCAAGGTCCAGCTGATCACTCTGCCCCCTGCCTCGGAGACCTTCCCCCCGGGGACCCAGTGCTGGGTGACAGGCTGGGGTGATGTGGACAATGGAGGTGGGTGTCAGGGACAGTTGGAGGGCTTGGGGAAGTGGGGACAAGTTACACCCATGAGCCAGCTCTGGGGTTCCTTTGGAGAGGGGCCCTGACAGCGGGCTCAGGGCCTCCCCGCTAGTGCTGAATGCCCTCATCTCACCCCCAGAATCCCTANAGCTGATCACTCTGCCCCCTGCCTCGGAGACCTTCCCCCCGGGGACCCAGTGCTGGGTGACAGGCTGGGGTTATATATTCAGGAAAGGTGGGTATCAGGGACAGTTGGAGGGCTTGGGGAAGTGGGGACCAGTTACACCCATGACCCAGCTCTTGGGTACCCTTTTGGCAGTGGGGTCCTGATGCGCAGGCTCAGGGAGTGGCCATTTGGCGAGTCTTGGGGGGAAGAGATGGCACAGGCAGGATGTACCGAGAGCAGGGACTCGGTGCTTGGGCAAGTCACTTAGCACCTCTATGCCTGTTCCCCTTGCACGAAAGGGCGCAGTGGGAGTTGGTTTTTCATGGGTATGATAGAGGAATGAGAGAAATCACACATATAAGGCGCCTTATTATTAAAAAGGAAGAGAGCAACCCCGCTTCCCTAGGCTGGCCTGTGTTTTCTCCCTGTGCCCACCGACGGAGCCAGAGCCAGAAGCCAGGGCCCTGCGCAGGGGTGTGGGTGCAGTTAGATGCAGCTTGGCCTGACCCCTCCAGCACAACCATCTTGTACCTTTTATCCACAACTCAGAGCAAAGCCTTAGGGTCACTGAGCGTGAGCAGGTGCCCTGTGGCATGTCCTCTGGGCCGCCCACAAAGAGTCTGATTGTGTCATCGCCCAAGCGCCAGTGGAGATACACATCCTCTCCAACCACCCCGTGCATAGTGGGGAAAATTGAGTCCTGGGGTGAGGGCTGGCCTGGAGGCAGAGCTGGGAGGAAAGCTGGTTCCCACCCCTTCCCTTCCCCAAATGGGGCTTCAGTGAGGTCAAGGACGCAGGTCTAGCCTTGGGAGCGAAGGGATCGGGTCTGCAGTGCTCAGCGCCCCCTGTGCTGAGCTCCCAGGCCTGGCTCAGAGGCAGCAGCAGCAATGCTCCTGCTGTCATTCCCCGCCCCGTCCCATGTCCCATCGGAGGGCAGGGTGAGCTGACTGCCCCAGCCCAGCCTGCTTCCTCCTTCACCCCCTCTCACCCCGCAGTGCCTCTCCCACCGCCATTCCCCCTGAAGCAGGCAAAGGTGCCCATTGTAGACAACAGCATCTGTGACAGCAAATACCACATGGGCCTGTACACCGGGGACAATGTCCGGATTGTCCGGGAAGACATGATATGTGCTGGGAACGAGAAGCATGACTCCTGCCAGGTGGGCCCATGTCCCCCCCAAAGTCCCCACCGCCTCAGCCTCTCCAGCCACTTGCTGACCCCTCTCCTCCCCAGGGTGACTCTGGAGGGCCCCTGGTCTGCAAGGTCAATGGCACCTGGCTGCAGGCAGGTGTGGTCAGCTGGGGTGACGGTNGGTCTGCAAGGTCAATGGCACCTGGCTGCAGGCAGGTGTGGTCAGCTGGGATGACACCTGTGCCCAGCCCAACAGACCCGGCATCTACACCCGTGTCACCTACTACCTGGACTGGATCCACCAGTACGTCCCCAAGGGCCCCTGAGCCATCCCTCGGGCTGCCACCTAGGGCTATGGAAACCCAGCCCCTCCTGTCCCCAGACCACTGCTTCCTGCCCAGGTGTCAACCCTTTCTCCCTTCCCTGTCCCCTGCCCTGAGCCTCCCACCCCACCCTGTCCTCAGGGCAGGGACTAGGTGGCAGGCACTGATCCTCATTAAAGTGTGTGCAGAGCACATGTGGTTGTGGCTGTGTTTCTAGCTGTGGGCGCCACTGAGGGGGAGCGGAGGGCTTCAGGGGAGCCGCACAGCCACTGTCTGTCACTGTGGGGCCCCCCTGGCCCTGAGCACTGGGCATTGCTGTGGGGACAGACCCCTCCCCTGCCCTTGGTGCCCAGGGCTTGTCTCTTTGGGGAGCAGCCACGTATACTCTGGACACAGAAAGCAACACAGGACATTTCCAAGATAATTCTAGGAGCACCCAGGCAGCCAGCAATGAGGTCACAGTATGTACCGTGGCCCCCACACCTGTGTCCCTCTAACCCCGCAGTGCCCTCCCCTCCTCTCTCCACAGCACTGTCCCCAGCCTCTCTCAGGTCGCACTGTGCAGGTACATGTGCAAGTCCTGGGTCTGCCTAACGTTCACATTTGGGAGACTGATGGATTATAACCCTTGAGCCTGTTACACCGAACACCGTGTTGTGCCGTTTTCCTGAGGCTGCATGTGGGGAGGACACCATTTCTCCACTCATCCTGTCAGCTCCCAAGTGGAGCCTGATGTCCAGGCTGCTACAGGGGACATAGGGTGTCCCCAGTCAGGGTCTTAGGACCAGGTGACTGGCCGTTCCTGTGCACCCCCTCCGAATGTGTGGGGCGTGTGCCAGTGAGGGGGCTGAGGCCTGGGGTCTGCACACCCTCCATTTCCTAGAAGCCAGATGTTTCCCACCCACCCCCAGCAATGGGGGCCATGCCTGTCACTCCCCTCCCCCACCTCCTCCCCTTTCTGATAGTGGGGGTGCCCTCTCATTAACTTTAATAAGCAATTTTATGGTTTTTGATGTGGGAGTCCCTTTCACAATTGGAGGTCCCCTTTGGCAGGAGAGGGGACAGCTGTCCACTTGGAATATTCGAACAGTGCCCCCAGGCCCCAGGTCCAATAGCTCCAACCTCTTGGATGTTGTCACAGAGCAAGTTTCCTGCCACTGCTCATGTCAATAGGCCGCAGGTTTTGTGCCTCTGGCTGCTGTGCATTTCAGGTTGTCTCTTGGGCACAGAGCCCCGTGAGCCGCAGCTCGGCTCCCCATGGTGCAGACTTTGCAGGTCCAAGTGGGAGGGCCTCTGCCCACTCACCCTGGGCTCTCACTGCTGGGGAAACGGTGGGGGGGAGGGGAGATGCTAGCTCTCATTTCCTCTCTCCTTTAATTATCTTATTGCAGCCAGAATACTTGCCCTTCCTAGAATGTGAAAGGCAGAGGTGGACTGAACACCCCTGTCCTTCCTCCTTCTTTCCCTTCCCACACTCTTGGGGTTGCCCCTGTGGTTGATGAGGTGACCTCCTTGGGTTGTTCACCTTGTACAAGCCCATTTACACTTTTCTAAGGGCAGGCTGTGCTGGGGGACACTAAGGGACAAGCCACAGGGCTCCTCCTGTGAGGGGTGCAAGGAAGAAAAGATACACGGGCTGGGCCTGGGGCTGATACCCTTAGATTGGGAGAGCAGAGAGGAGGACGGGTACCCCATCCCCACCCCTGCTTCCCCTTATCTGGCCCTGGGATCTGGAGGAGCTCAGCCCCCCCTGCCAGTGACAGTGACAGATAAAAGTGAGTGTTGGCTTATCAAGGAGGATCAAGAGGGCCTTCCCCTGGGCCAGCGGGGCTGAGGGGGGACACCCCTCCCTCTGTGCCCATAGGCATCCTCCTGAGGGAGCCCCTATGCAGGTCCATATGGCCCATGTTCACTGGGCTGCTAGTGACCCATCCCCCCAGGTGTAGGAGAGGGAGGCACTCTGGGGTATGACACCCTTCCTTGTGCTCTCCTGTAAAATGGGCACAGAAATGAGTTCAGTCACAGAGTCATTGAGGGGGACCACACAGATGGTGTTTGGAGTTGTTTGCTCAAGAGCAGGCCTAGAATCTTGGGGGTGTCGCAGGTACTGCAGGAAACCATGTTATGAGGTACCAGTGGGATGAGGGGGTCTGAATGCTAGAGGCAAATTGACCTAAAACAGGTGAAGGCCCCAAATTCCCATCCTGTGGAGACCAGGGGAGGCAGTGGGCGTCCAGGAGGCAGAGGACCTGGGGTCCCTCTGGACCCCCCCCCACCCCCACACTGGGCAACATCGGACTTCCTGGGACCTGGGAGGGCTGGCCTCCAACCCCACTCCCCTGAGCCAGACAGAAAGGGCAGTTTCCCCTTCCCCAAGGACACCTCCTCGGTGTGTGGCCGTCACGAGTTCAGTGCAGGCCCCGCACCCAGAGGTGCTGCCACTGTGATCCTTGTTGATCATCGGAGCAGATGTCGCGCACGCACTTCTGACCCAAGGCTCGAGGCTGGGTGCTGGCAGGAAGGAGACAAGACTGTACCCAGAGCAGCTCCGTCCTGGTGAGTCATCAGGAAACCTACCCTGTGCCTCAGTTTCCCCACATATAAGAGAAAACTCTCCCATCTGGCCTAGGATTTGGAGCTAGGCAGGGGGCTGGGGGTGGGGGCCAGGAGAGTTATAGCCTTTCCCAGAGCCCCCTAATCAGATTGGTCATCAGGCCCTGGCCAGATAGAAAATAGTTTGGAAGGGCTGCCCGTAGCTGGGGAGCCACTGCCGTGCCCAATCTTGTCTTCAGCAGGACAAGAAGTAAGGTCACTGCCCAGAGTCTCCACTCCATATTAAAGTCCAGTCCAGCCCTGGCTAGTGTTGCTCAGTGGTTAGAGTGTCGGCCTGAGCACCAAAGGGCCTCAGGTCGGATTTCTGGTCAAGGGCACGTACCTGGGTTGCAGGTTTGATTCTGGGCCCCACTCCAGGTGAGTGTGGGAGGCAACCAATTGATGTGTCTCTCTCACATTTCTCTCTCTCTCTCTCTCTCTCTCTCTCCCCCTCCCGCCCTTTCTTCCGCTCTCTCTAAAAACCAATGAAGAAAATATCCTCTAGTGAGGGCTAACAAGAATAATAAGAGTAGAGAGGTTAGGGAAGATGGCGGCCCTGTGAGAAGCAGCAGCGTCCCCGCTCCAGCCACGGACTTGATTTCCTCCTAAAATCCTACGTAACCAGCTTGAAAAAAACAGAGGAACATACCTGAGTGGACGAAGTGTGAGTGGGGAGCACTGAGGAACCATCACGGAGTCCGGTAAGAGAGGGGGCCGTAGGAAGGGGGAGTCCCCCTGAAGCCTGTGCTGGGCTCCAAGCCTGAAGGCTTGGAGGCTGCAAAGCTCCGCGGACAGCATCCAAAAGCGGGGATCCCACACCCGGAGCAGAGAGGGGAAGGAGCGCCCCGCGCACACGGCAGAGGGACCCAGGGGAGCGGTGAGTCCGGGAGGAGACGGCATCTTCCCAGGAAACAAAGCCTCTAGGGGCGGCTTTGACCGGCGTCTGGTGCTCGGGGTGCCAACCATAGGCAAGGCTGTCCCAAGGGCTGTGGCACCCAAGCGGTAAGGGACTAGAGGACTGCGCTGAGCACCTGCACACGGGGACCCTTGGCCTCCCTGTGGGGCATTGTGTTGAGCCCCAGAAAGCACTGAATCTGCATGGTGTGGGGGAGGGGAGGAGCCCTCCTGCCCTGAGCTCCCTGTGCCGAGAGGCTGGGATCTGTGACCGGCCCTGAGAGGCCCCATGGTGGCGAGTGAAGCTGCTCCAGCTTTGCTGAGACCAGTGGTGTGTGGAGAGCTGCGTGGAGCTGACTTTGGGTCCCCTCCCACTGGGTGCCTTGGAGCAAGGGCAGTGGGACCTTGCAGGGCAGACTCTCAGCCTGTGAGTTGCTTTGTGCATTTGCGAGTTTGATCACGGAACTGGTTTCCACCTTCCCAGCATGCACTGCGCAGACAGACCAGCGGAGGCTGCCACTGGGGCCTGCGCAGTAGAAGGTCTGAGGGGCGGGCCTAGTGCGACCAGCCAACCAGAGCTGAGCAGGGAGGGGCGGAGCCTGCCGGCCTCTCCTGCAGCCGGGAGCACCGCCCCCAACAGGAAAGGGGCGGGCCCTGCTCACTGAAGCCCCAGACACACCGGAGGGGCACAGTCCCAAGGGGGAAGGGAGAGCAGCTCACAGGAGGACTCTGCAAGAATAAGACTCTCGGGGCCTGTTGTTTGGGAACCGGAGGAAACGCTGAAAACCCTGCTGGGGGCTGGGCAGGCAAAGGGCTCACCAGAAGGTGTTCTTAATCGAACCCACTGGGCCCTGGCTGCCGAAACGGCCCAGACAGAAAAGGCAACAGGCTGAAATCAACCTGAAGCTGCAGCAGGACAGAGCCTGGGGAACTAGAATCAGAGGACAGGGTAGGGACTGAGGAGCTGGCAGTGGAGCAGAGACTAACTCCCGCAGAGTGAGCACCTGACAGAGACACCTCTAAGTAAGGGGAGTGATACTCTGGGCTACACTAGCCACCCTGCACCCTAAAGACTCTACAGAAGACTCTGGAGCAAGACCAGGCAACTACAAGGTTGCAAAATAGCTGACAAGAGGAGGTGGCCCACGGAGAGCCTCAAATCAACCATCTACCTAAGGACACCAGAGCCAAACCTAGACAGCTCCTCACATTGAGTGATACACAAGTACCTCCCAGGAGAACTGAAATCACAAAAAACAGTGACCCTCAGACAACATAAGTTGCCCAGAAGAAACTCACCTGATTGACTACCTTTTTTTCTGCTGTTTTTTTGTTTGGTTTGGTTTTGGTTTTTTTGGTTTTTGGGGTTTTTTTGTTTGTTTTTTATTTGTGGGTTTATTTTTTCTCTTTTTTCCTTAGGAAGAAGAGAAAGGGGAGAAATTTTGTTTTTTCTTCTTTTTTAAATTTTATAATAATCTTTTTTTTCTCTTTTTAAATTTTTTTAAAAGTTTTTTAAC